AAATTATTTTACATTTATTTTTCTTTTAATTGAACTATAAATAAAATAAAACAATCACAAATTCTAATATTTTCTTAATATATAATTGTTGTCAATTAAAATATAAATAAAATATAATAACTACCATTCAACAAAATGAGAGTCACTTCACTAATTGTTCCAAAATAAGAGTTTGTTATCCAATTATCTAAGTGAATCATTAATAGGTTAAATAGTAACCCAATATCAACTTAAGAAAAAGAAAAGGCCCTCTTGATCCAAATGGCCACAAAAAAAATTACAACCACAACCAACACTAAAAATAATGTTAATGTAACTAAAATTTATGGTGAACATGAATCTCATAACTTCAGGTGAGTTGTTTACATTTTCGTATGGTGAATTTGAAGGAACATTTGAAGTGTGTTATGTAATATTATTCTTTATCTTAATATTAAGCTTGCTTAAAATTTAGGTTAGACTTAGTTGGAATATCTTGATTATGATGTGAATTTATTTTGTCCATTATAAGTTGACATTAAGAGATGTTAATCTTTTCTTAGGTTAGAATTAACTAAATTGGATCATTGGAGTAATTTTTAATAAGGTTGCTTTTATGATTAAATTAATATTTTATATATTAAGTGAATCTATGTATCTATTTATATGAATAATGAGTAAGTGTTTCATTAACACAAAATTCACAGTAAATGAGAGTGTAAAAATTAAACAATAAATACATCTAAAAATGATTTTTTATTTTTTATAATCAAGATAAAATAAATTAATAATTATTTTTTATAAACAAGATTAGGGTCAATAATTAATAGCTAATTAAAATTTTTAAACACGTTAGATAAGTTGAAATAAATACATAAATTAAAATTTGATTCTTGACTAGATGTATAAAAATTTGTTTTTGTTGAGAAAAAATTATATTTATTTTAGTGATATTTCTCCTTTGAGAGCTAAGTCTTCAATAGTTGGCTAATAATACTCTTTATCCACACTAAAACAAAGTCACATTAAATATATTTTTAATAAATTTTAAATTAAAATTTGATTAAATCAATTTATTTTCAAATAGTTTCAAAAATAGTTTAGGTGGAACTCAACCTTTCTTTGGAAATTCAACTTGTCATTGAGACTTCGATGGATAAGGATGGAAACAGGCCAGACTGCCTGATAGGGGCCTGTGGCTTGACCTGACCTTTTTAATAAACAAACCAGACTCAGGCCTTTTTTAAGGCCTGTTTAAGTAAACAAGCCAGGCCTGAGCTGTTTATAAAGTCTGTTAAGCCTGACAGACCGGCCTGTATAAATAAATAAATAAATAAATAAATATATATATATAATATAATTTAAAAATAGAGCTATCAAAATATATTTAAATAATAAAGTTATTTAATAATATATTTTTATATTCTTAATTCTGTTATTATTAAATTAATATATTATGTTATAATTTTATTTATTTATAATTATAATAAACAGAAATTATATTATATTAAAAATTAAAAAAATTTATACATGATTACACTTTTTAAATAATAAATTTATTTAATAATAAATTATTATATTTAAACAATTTAAAAAATAATGAAGTCTTTGAACAGGAATAAGACGTAATCAAAACTAAACAAAATAAAATTTAAAAATAAAATAATAAAATTATATTAATATATTTTTTATACTCTTAATTTTATTATTATTAATTTAATTATTATATTAATATATTATGTTATAATTATTTTTATTTATAATAAATAGAGATTGCTTAAATCTGAATTATATTTTAATTGAAAGTAAAAATTTATAAAAAAAATAATAACAAAATAAAATAAAAAACTTATTATAATATATATTATAATATATATATATATATATATATATATATATATATATATGATCAGACCATGTAACAAATAATATAAATAATATAATTTTAAATAAATTATATAATAATATATATTTTTATATTTTGCACATGTTTTAATTAAATTATTAGTCAATTTATCAATTTATATATAATTTATAAGTATGTGTTTTAATTTATTGTATCAGTAATATTTTCTATATTACATTAATATTATAGTGTGGTTACTTTTACATTTATTTGTTAATTTAAAATAACAAATTAATGAGATAAATAAAATTAAATATTTTGTAATTATTTTTTAATTTAATAGTTATTATTTTTTTCATTATATATATATATAGTACATTAAGTTTAAATTTTTATATTAAGTTTTATTACATATTTTTTAATTAAGATAAAAATTTAGAAATATAAGTTATTTTAATTTAAATATAAATTTTAATAATTCTTCCTATGCTCATATGTTATTTTTCTTCATCTATGAATTTTATAATATAAGTATTTATCATCTACAATTTTTATAATGACAATATTTATTTACTTTTTAAAATATAATAATTTTTTTAGCTGATTCAATAAATTTTATAAGTGTTATTTTTCGTAATTATTTTTTTAATTTAATAGTTATTATTATTGTCATTATATATATATATATATATATATTGCAGTAAATTTAAATTTATTTTTTTTAAAACATATAATTTTTTTTAATTGATTCAACAAATTGTGTGAATGTTATTTTTTTTAATCAATTTTATGTATTTACTATAACTTTATTTGTTGAATATAAGATGTCTTTAAATAAACAAAATATGTTTCTATAATAAAACTAAAATATTTACTATTTATATAATTTTAAAAAATAAATAAATAAATATAAATATAAATTTTATTAATATAAAATATTTATAATTAATACTTAAATAATATTTTAAAAATTATTTATAAAATTATATAAATATTATTATAATTATTTAATAATTATTAAGAACATAGATAGAAATTAAAAAAATGTATAAACTAATTTAATAATAAAATATTTATATTTTTATTAATATTAATTTTTTTTAACAGATTTTGTTAACAGGCTTCAGGCCAGGTCAAGCCACTTAAACAGGTCAGGTCAGGCCTAAAATAAAACTTTTAACAGGTAACAGGTCAGACTCAGACCTAATAATTATATTACAGGCCAGACCTGTTTAGAATAAAACCTGTCCTGATCTGACCTATTTCCATCCCTACTGATGGATGGCATCAGAGCAATTTACCATAAATAATATTCAACACATTTCAGATAATCCTTAACAGCTCATGATGCAAAAACCTAAACTTTTCCTAACAAATAACGTGGTTATGAAGTCAGGTGCTATTAGGAACTTCAATTATACACCTGGAGTGCTATTATGCAGCCATATATATATATATATATATATATATATATATATATTAATCTCTTAAATAAGAAAAATATAAAAGAAACGCTACTTGTTTAAAACAAAATATGTATACTTTTTAAAACGTTTTTTCAATTAAAAGAAAGAATACTATACTAAAAATAATGGAATGATATGAACATAACAAAAATTACCTTAAACTAATAAATAATTAGTTAATAATTTTTAAATTTACACCAGATTAATCAAAAAGCCGAATTTGGGTGGGTGCCCGAGCAGAATAATTTTGTCGATTTTTGTATAAAAAATAATCTTATTCCTTAAATAGTTGTTGGTAAAATTTGGCATTTCTTGTCAAAATGATAAAATCTAATTTCACTAAGCTTCTCCATAATTGCAGGACACACATTCTTATATATTATAAAAGAATTAGAAAGTAAAATACATATAAAAAAAAAAAAACGTAAACACTCTGTCTAAGTTACTTACAAAACAGCTAGGTACACAAAAGGAGGAGGACGTGTCATAGTGACACATGTGAATGTGATTGTGGTGGGGAACCATGAATCTGATGATAATTATACTTCTATAGAGTATGTCTTGCTCTTAAAATATTTGATAAAATATTATATTAAAAGTGTATTAAAAATTATGTTAATATTATTAAAAGTATAATATTTAAAAACATGTAAATAACTTAATTAGTAAAGATAATATTTCTTTTTGCTAATGTAAAGATAATATTTTTAAAAGTATATTTGTTTATTAAATAGCATTTTGTGATTAAAATTGTTTATGATTATCTTTTTATTCTACTTTCTTTATCTTTTATATTAAATTTAAAAAAAATATAAATAACTTAATTAGTAAAAATAATATTTTTAAAAAATAGAAATTTTGTTAATCAATATCTAAAAATAATTGTTGAAGAACTAGTGAAATTCATTTTAACAGTAAATTAAAAATTATGAAAAGAGTGTAATATTACATTTTTCAATAAAAAATATTTTTAATTTTTTAAATAATATTCTTAAAATGGTGATTAACACTTATTAAAAAATATTTTATTATTTATTAATATCATAAATGATCAATAAAAATATAATTATTAAAAAACCTGGAAAAAGGAGAAACGAATGTAATGTTGTTATTTCTGATCCTCAATATATGGTTTGCTTAAAGAATTTGTCACAGTTTCTTTTATAAGATCCCTTATGAATTTTTTTTTTATATATAAAATACCTTTACTAAAACAAAGCAATTAATTAAAAAAAGTAAGAGAATATGTCTCAATAATTTTTAAGATAATTTTAGAAAATTTATTTAAATTATTAATAAATATAATATTATTCATTAAGTTAATTATATTTCTTAATTTTCATAAATTAATAAATTAGTCTTATATTTAGGATAAGAGGTGATACTCCTTTCATTTCTTATATTTTGTTATTTAAAGCTTTTGTACACAAATTAGGAAAATTGTAATTAATATAAAATATGATCATATTTTGACTAAAATATTTCCATTTATATTTTAAATTATTTCATTTATTTTTCATTACTTTTTACATAAAGATAGGAAAATAAATAAATAATAATAATTTTAAAAAAAATCTAAAACAACAAAACTTGAAAAAAAACAAATAAGGGAGGGAGTACAATGAAAGCTACGTGTTTCCCCAAAAGTCATACTTAAATTACTACATGCCTATAACTTTAATATCTTCCCCTTCCCTTAATCCATCACTTCTTTTTTTCCCTTGGTAGCATCCCACTCTCTTCCCAGTTCGCATCTCATAAACAACGCTCGTTCAGTTTCACTGTTCAAGTTCCAGAACATGGATTCCCACAATGCAGCATGTCACGACCTTAGTTTAAGATAACCCTTATAATGGAACGACTTCGTTGGAACCTCCTTTCCTTCCTCCTTCTATCACTGGTTTGCACGGTTCTCTCCGTGACGGACCCAAACGACGTGAAAATTCTGAACCAATTCAGAAAAGGGTTGAAGAACCCAGAACTATTACCGTGGCCCGAAGAAGGAGGAGACCCGTGTGGCAACCCTCAGTGGAAATACATCTTCTGCAACGGCGACAGAGTCTCTCAGATTCAAACCAAAAACTTGGGCCTCGCAGGCCCACTCCCTCACAACTTCAACCAACTCTCCATGTTAGAGAATCTGGGCCTTCAGATCAACAACCTCAATGGTCCCTTACCATCCTTCAGAGGCTTATCCAAACTAAAATACGCGTTTCTCAACCATAACGATTTCGATTCCATTCCCCAAGATTTCTTCATTGGACTCGAGAGTCTCGAGGTTGTCGCCTTGGATTATAACAACCTCAATGCCACTACTAATGGGTGGCAATTCCCTTCCACGTTGCAGGGTTCTGCACAGTTGACTAATTTGTCTTGTATGAGTTGCAATTTTGTTGGTTCGATTCCTGGGTTTCTGGGGAGCATGGTTTCTCTGTCGGTTTTGCAACTTTCTGGCAATAATTTATCCGGCGAGATTCCGGCGACATTTAATGGTGTTCCGGCGTTGCAGATTCTGTGGCTGAATAACCAGCAGGGTGGTGGGCTTAGTGGGAGTATTGACATTGTTGCAACCATGGTTTCGATGACGAGTTTGTGGCTTCATGGAAACCAGTTTCGAGGAACTGTTCCTGAGAAAATTGGGGATTTGGTTTCTCTCAAGGATCTTGATCTTAATGGGAACCAGCTTGTTGGGTTTGTTCCTGATGCTTTGGGTAAAATGCAGTTAGAAAGGTTGGATTTGAATAATAACCACTTCATTGGTCCAATTCCGAAATTTGCAGCTGCTAAGGTTACTTTTGCTTCGAATAATTTTTGTCAATCTAAACCTGGGGTTTTGTGTTCCTTTGAGGTAATGATGTTGTTGGAGTTTCTTGGCGGGTTGAATTATCCTTTGAATCTGGTTGATTCGTGGAGTGGTAATGACCCGTGTAATGGACCATGGTTGGGAATAAAGTGCAATGCTAAAGGAAAGGTGTCTATGATTGTTTTGACTAACTTTAATCTTAGTGGTACTTTAAGTCCTTCTGTTGCAAATTTGGGTTCTCTTGTTGAAATCAGATTGGGGGGTAACAATCTAAGTGGTAGCATACCAAGCGATTGGACTAGCTTGAGATATTTGACTCTGTTGGATCTAAGTGGCAATAACATTTCCCCTCCCTTGCCGAATTTCGGGAAAAGCTTGAAACTTGTGATTGATGGTAATCCTTTGTTAGTTCGTGGCATTGGCAAGCCAGAAGTTCCTCCATCTGGGACTGGCTTCCCTTCCCCATCCAGAAAGGCTGAACCACCTTCATATGGTGATCTTAAACCAAAGCCTCCGGCGGATTCAAATCCCAGTTCCGGTGATTCTCATGAATCAAGTAGTTCCAAAAGGAAAAACTTGGTTCCAATTGTAGCCCCCATTGTAGCTGTTGCAGCTGCAGCTTCTCTACTTGTTCCCCTTTATGTATACTGTTTCAGGAGGAGAAAAGGTGTCTCTGAGGGTCCAAGTTCACTAGTAATTCACCCTAGGGACCCATCTGATTCAGACAAAGTGCTAAAGATTGTTGTTGCTAACAACAGCAATGGAAACATTTCAACTGTTACTGGAAGTGGGTCTGGAAGTGCAAATGGAAATGGGGAGTCTCATGTCTTTGAAGCTGGAAATCTTGTCATATCAGTTCAAGTTCTTCGAAGTGTGACCAAGAATTTTGCACCAGAGAATGAGCTTGGACGTGGTGGATTTGGGGTTGTTTACAAGGGAGAATTGGATGATGGGACTAAAATTGCCGTGAAAAGAATGGAAGCGGGTGTGATTAGCAGCAAGGCCTTGGATGAATTCCAATCTGAAATTGCAGTTCTATCAAAAGTCCGGCACCGCCATTTAGTGTCTCTTTTGGGTTATTCAATTGAAGGTTCTGAGAGGATTCTAGTTTATGAGCATATGCCACAAGGGGCTCTCAGTATGCATCTTTTCCATTGGAAGGGCCTTCAACTGGAGCCCCTCTCTTGGAAGAGGAGGCTCAATATAGCCTTGGATGTTGCTAGAGGAATGGAGTATCTTCATAGTCTAGCTCGCCAGAGCTTCATTCACAGAGATCTCAAGTCATCAAATATTTTGCTTGGGGATGACTTTAGAGCAAAAGTCTCAGATTTTGGATTGGTAAAACTTGCACCTGATGGCAAAAAATCTGTAGTGACCAGGCTTGCTGGTACATTTGGATACTTGGCACCTGAATATGCAGGTAATTTTGTTTTATTTTTCAAGTCTTTTATATTAGACATTTCTGAATTTGATCACTTTTTTTTTTTTTTTTGTTGTAATTTCTGTTGATTGTGTATGCTGATGCCTGCTCTGTATACGGTTTCTGAAAGCAGTTTTAGCCTTTTCTATGGTTCAGATTTCCTATTGGAACCATCTAGCAGAATTAATAGAGCCATTGACCTCATTTTTGGAAAACTGCTTTACTAACATTGGATTCAAGGCTGTTGGTAAAGTAACTGATTCCAAGGGGAAAAGCTTTTCAATTTACCTGTATACATATCATTTAGAGCATGTTGAATATAGATTTTTATACAATGAATAAATATTGTGACATGTGGTTACCCTTCCAACAATTTGTAATTAATGATGAAATCTGTCTATTTTGCACATCTATATATACTTTAGCTAGTCTAAAAAGTCTTGAAAAAAAGTGATTGTAGGTGTCTAAAATTTCAAAGAAATACTGAACTTGACAAAAAAATATCGTGCACCTGGATAGCCCTTATGATTTCTGCATTGTATCATCTATCTGTCTGGGACCACATTGAAATTCATACAGTCCTGATCTATATGATACGTTCATAAACTATACTAATTACTGCTTTTTATCTTTTTATATATTTCAGTGACAGGAAAGATCACTACTAAAGCAGATGTTTTCAGTTTTGGCGTGGTGCTGATGGAGCTGTTAACCGGATTAATGGCACTTGATGAGAATAGACCTGAGGAAAGCCAATACTTGGCATCATGGTTCTGGCACATAAAATCAGACAAGGAGAAACTAATGGCTGCTACTGACCCAGCCCTTGACATAAAGGAGGAAACATTTGATAGTATCTCCATCATTGCTGAGTTAGCCGGGCACTGCACTGCCAGAGAACCACACCAAAGGCCAGATATGAGTCACGCTGTGAATGTTCTGGCACCGCTTGTTGAAAAATGGAAACCACTACTTGATGACACCGAGGAGTATGCCGGCATAGATTATACTCTTCCCCTTAACCAAATGGTGAAGGACTGGCAAGAAACAGAAGGAAAGGACTTGAGCTATATGGACTTGCAAGACAGCAAAAGTAGCATCCCTGCAAGACCTACTGGATTTGCAGAGTCTTTTACTTCTGCTGATGGCCGGTGAAGCAAGTTGTTTGTTGATTTCTTGAATGCATCCTATTTCCCTTTTTCTTGTTTAATCAGTTGGTGTCAACATGGATTGAAATCAACCATTGCATTTCCTGTCTCCACTGTTACAAAGTGACGTGTGATTAAAATATTAACACTTTCTTAGTTGTTAATTTTCTTTAATCACTCGCTGCTTTTTTATTAAGAGATGGGAAATGAAGAAGTGATTTGGTAGTGTAGACACTTCTGCTTGTTCTTTCCTCTCAGGCTTGGCAAGTGTTCTAGTGTCAGTGGGATTATGGTGTTCGTAAGAGATTTCACGTGTATGATTTGTATTTTCAACTTTTATATTTAAGAGTTAATGCTTGTAGATAGTGAACAAAGATCAATGAGAATGCTTGTTACTTGTTCATTCATTCACGATTCTGTGTTCTATTATCATGTAAATCGGAATAAAGAGCATTGTACCAAATGAGAAAAGAAATGAAATAAAAACGGTTTGAGCAGTGCAATGATTATAGCTTGTTTCTTCATTTAGATCCACCACAGATTCAGCATACCCACTATATTTTTTTGAAGCTGATCAGTGAATGGCCAAGGGCTTTAAATTTTGACCCGTATAATGTGATGCATTAAGAAGTTAGAACCCGCGGTCACTGTCTCAAAAAATTTTCTATAAATTAAAAATAATTTTTATTTATTTATTTTTTTAAGAAGTTTTATTATTTAACTTATTTAAAATTTAAAGAAATAAGTTGTTTTTAACTTATAAATTTTTTTATTTAAATACGTTCAAAATTTGTCTGTTTGTTCTAAATATATGACTATTTTGTCAACGGCAGTGTGGGGTGGATGTGAGTGCTGCAGATCGGTTGCTTTTACAGTCATCGAAGGTAATATTTTACATTATCTCCTTCCAACCTTTGATTATCAATTAATCATTACAATTTTTGTGCACGAGCATGTTATACAATATACATCTGCCTAGTCTAAGTTTCAGAAGTCCATTTTCTTTACTTTCTGAATTTCCTTTTAGGAATCGTTTTTTGTTATGAAATCATTATGATTTCCATTTGTCAAAATAATTTACACTTATCTAATGAATTATGTATAAATTGCGAACATCTCATTGGCAATTCAAAACTTAATATTTTTTTGATGCTAGAAGAATATGTTCATCAGTCTGACTAAGGCCTCTAATGATGTTTTTGCTATAATTGAGAGAAGGAGAAAATTTGGATAAAATTATTCCAGACTCGAGAGCTCGTGGTGTTGTTCTCCAATGAAACATACATGCATCATCTTTTGGTGTACTTTGTTATTGGTCATTAAGCTCAACACTACGGTTATCTGCAGATGAAAATGGGTAGATAAAAACACTGTTTATAATTCACTAATCACGAGGTGTTGCTAACTAAGCTTCTTGGCATTTGAAATCCACTGGAATTACCCAATGGACTTTCACTTTATTCTCTAATATTCTATATAGCAATTATTTTAATATCTAATTTTATTTAAATTTTTATTTTAACTTTTTAAAATGTTATTTATGTGATTACTTTTTTTCTATATGGTTTTTTTTTTCAAAATTTAAAAAATATGTAATTTTTTACAAAATTACGAAATATGGATTTCAAAAATCACCAACAAAAAAATATGAAGTTTCAAAATTCGAAAATGATGATTTTTAAAAAAAATTTAAAAATTTAAAAAAATCAAAAGTCGCTAATGAGTTTTTTAAAAAATAATTAAATATTTAAAAAGTATATTAAAAGTTATTTTTTTGGTCAAAAGTCGCCAATCATAATTTTTATAAAAAAAATATTTCTGTAATTTTATAAAAAATCTTATATTTTTAAATTTTGAAAAAAAAATCATATATAAAAAATGTTTCTATTTAAGTTAGTTATTTTTTATTTTTTTCTTCAACTAACATTGAGGATTAAAGTTTATCATGTTTTCTAAAGTATACTAAAATAATTAGAAAATATAATATCAAAGAATAAGGATGAGGATTTACTAAAAAAAGTGTAACCTTATATTTTTAACTCGGGAAAACAACTATATATATATATATATATATATAAGCAAGTAAATACGATGTATATCTCAGTGGTGTGTTGACGTATACGTCGTGATGATGGAACTCCTTTTGAAACATAAATCCATTTGCAGGATGCTTGCGAAACTGCTCTTTTGGTTATAATTTATGAAGTACTATTCACTGATCATCTTAGATTAGCAGGATTATGATAAAGACTCTTGCTTGGTTTTGTTCCAGTAATAATGAATTACCCTTCTATGCTTTGTGAGTCTACTCATTATCTAGAGAGGTTTAATTGTTGAACCTCTGATATGATTAGTTTGTGTGGCTTAGCATTATGATAGATTTGACGTCAGATGAACAACTTCTGCATGAACTCATTCAAATGAATTATTTATTATGTTTTAAGGCAATACCAAGATATGACAACATAGGTTAATCTTTTCTTGCAAAAAGCTAATCAAAATAGCATAAAAATCTTTGATATTTAAAAGTCAGCAATGTACAATAAAATTAAACTCAACGTTGATGGTAACTGAAACTCTTCCTCTAAATAATGGAAGTATAATTTACCTTCAAGTATAGGAGGATGCTTCCTCGATATTTTATGCTACTATATTTCATTCTCATGTAATCTCTTTATATTAACTTTTTTTTTTTTCGTTATCTGCCTATCAAAATTCAACTTAGCTCATATAATGATATAAAATGGATATCAATGATGATGTTATATTTGTATTTTAATTTAATTTATATTTTAAATTTAAATTTTATTAAAAAAATACAAAGAATATAATATTATTAATAACACATTTTGTTTATATTATATATTAATTAAATTATATAAGTCAACTGAATACCATACAAAGGTATAATACAAGTTAGCAAATTGTTAATAGATATATTAAATAAAAGTAAAACATAACTTTTTTAAAAATAAAATAAAAAAGTTTGATAAAAAAATTAGTCGTAGAAAAATAAAAAGGAAATAAAAACTAGGCGAATGGAAACACCTTTACATATTTTGGAACAAAACGAGTGGGTCTTTCCAGATAAAAAGCGAAACCAAAAGGTCTGAATGGAAAGCAAACAAAGCATGAAACGAATCGTTGGCACCTTACTTGGACCCCAAGTCACACACAATACGAATAATAAGATAGGCGCGTCCACTCCCGAATGTTCCTACACTTTCCGCAGTAACTAGATACAGCAATATTCGGTTTAATTAAAACACAACAGCCGCAAAGCAAATCATAATATATACTAATCAATTTAAGCACCACGCAAAATATTTTTTGATTCTATAATAACATCCCATCTAATTAAAATAACGCACTTTACAATTTTTACTGATGAAGCATACAATGGTATTCCAATAATACCCCTAACCGCCTCTCTATATTTTCAAAATTACACCTGAAACCCCACATCTCATGACACCCCCCGCACCTCCTTTCTCGTTTTGTTTTTCCTACATAAAGTAGTAAACCCTGTGATCCTGTTAAGTGTTAACGCAAGGTTCCAAAGCGCGCTGCGAAATCGTTCACTCATTGGGAAGAATAAAATAAAAATTATGTTCGGAGGAGACCGAGGCAGCCCGCTGTTACCCGTCGTTTACTTTGACGGCAAGAGGGAGATCGACGTCGGCTCTGTCTTGGTGGACCCCAATCTGAGCTTCAAGAACCTTCTATCTCTGTTGAGCCAGAGGATTGGGATCCCGCCGAACCAGTTCTCCGTCTACCTCGCCTTCGTGGGGAGCGACCGGAAAATCCTACTCACCGCCAGGGTCAGCCTTGCCGTCGTGCGCCGCGAAGACAGTAACTACTACTTCTTTGTCAAGCGGGTCAATCGGTCCAAGAAGCCAGCTGCCAGCGGAAATTACTCCAAACCGAACCAGAATATTTCGCCGGAGAGCGTCATGCTCCTCCGCCGCGAAGCCGCTGTCGCCTCCGGAGAAGCGACGCCGGCTTCCTCGTTCAGGTCGGCGTTTGCGGCGCCGATTCTGGATCGCGTCGAGTACGAGAGAAGGTTGAGGAATTGGCAGATGGAGAGGGAGTCTTTCTTGACGAATATGCGCATCGGAATCAATCGTGTCGCCGTAGGAAGGGAAGCGCCGAACGTTGGCGGCGGCGGCGGTTGCGAAGAGTGTTTGAACGCGAAGTTGAGTGGAATTGATGGTGGTTTTCATTTGTGCGTGAATGACAAGGTGACGGTAGGGTTCAGGTCGGCGGCGGGACCGATTTCTCGGCCGGCGAAAGAACCGGGCGAGGACTGTCCCTGATTTCTGGGGCGGTTTTCTTTTGTCTCTTGGTGCAAGAAACAAATGTGCATAGGGAGAGTGATCGCGTGCGGTCAGGTATACGATAAAGTTGTGTTGACATTTAATTAATTAATCCTTAGGTGACTTTACGCATGGTATATAGACGATCTTGCCCCTTGAGGGAGGAGGGGGTTTTAATTATCATCCATGAATGTGATGTTTTTGTAGGGAGAAGTGAGGGTTGTTTTGTGACTTTAGTTTTGGGTTGTTTTCCATTTTGCTTGTACAAGAAAAATTGTAGAATTGGTAATGCATAGGGTCTTATAATTGTCCATGTGAACGTGGAATGCGAATTTTAAACGTTTGTTCATCAAATAAATGCTTCCTCTTCTTTTAGCATTTCATAATAATGCGTGTACTTGCCAGTCCTGTTCATCTCTGCACTTACTCTTTAACTTTAATTATTAACTAAAATTTACTAAAAATTATAAAAATCACATAAATTTATTCTTTTTTATTTTAATTTAATATTTTTTGATAAATTTTAGTTAATAATTAAAATTACAATAAAAATAATGCGTTATAGTGATGCACTTATCCTTAAAGAGTACAGATGTATAATTGGTATGGTTTGGTAGAAACTTCGTATTTAGATCTTATATGGGATGAGGCAAAATTTGTATTAATTGCGCGGGAACCGTAATTTTGACGAGACACCTTGCACGAACAGAGGTATGTTTTGTTTTACAAGCTTATTCCCTTACCTTTGGTTGTGAAATTATTTTATGGGTCATGTTAACTATTGCTGTTAGTGAATTAATAAAAATATTTTTTTTTCTTAAAATTGTGTTAAAATGCATTAAAAATAATGAAAGTAAGTGTCTTTTTATGGTTTTTTTTAATATTTTTTCTTTTTGTTTCTCAACCAATGCTTGTAGTTATTTTTACTGATTAGCATTTCTTTATTCTATTTATGCATGAAGCAATATGAATGGGTTTTCATTTAACGAGAAAATTTAATTACAATTATTTAGGTGTATTTTATGTTACTTTTTAATTGAAATTTAATAATTAACACAATAAATCTCTCATTCACTGCATTCAATTTTGTTCAATTTCATTATGAAATCTCATAAGTCACACCTGGTTGACCCGCACTAGGTCACTATTTCCTTGATTTGCTTTAGTAGTTCATGTGTGGCTTCAAATTGGCGATTCAGTACACTGTTGCTGATGGTATATTTTGAGTTTTGTTTGAAATTGCTGTTGATTTCTGCATATTTGCTAACTGATGTTAAAAAACAAGTCTAATAGTTGAAATTTAACCAATCTATTTGGCAAAAAAAAAAAAAAAAACTCAATTAATTTCCAGTTTAATCAACACTTTTTGGATACTTGTTCAAAACGCGTTAAAAGCTCTTGATTAGGTGTCTAATTAAATAAATATATTTCTTTTTCAATTTGTATATTTGAGCCGGCTCACATACTTGAGTAACATTCCTATATTGAACACATAAATATTATTAGAAAAAAATATTTTTTAACTTCCAAAAAGTTAGCTTAAAATGAAGTGTAAAATATTAAAATTGAATGGCTCTTAATTTTCTTTTGTAACACTCATTATCATAGGAAAAGCGTAATGGTTTGAGAAGGTGAATATGCCTGAAAGATATAATTTTATCCTGTTTTAGGATTTTTTTTTTTTTTGTAAAGGGACTAAACACTTATGTTGTAAAATAATGGCTTTTAATAAGTTTTTGAGAAGTTTATACACACGGTGTTCTAGCGTCCTATATTTTCCACATTAGCCGTGTTGGAGTGTCCATGTCGAATTCCATGCTTCATAGATTCAGTTATAATTCTGAAAATAACCTCAGTCTAACATGTTGACAATTTGACAGCTCTGTCTAACATATGGGTTGAAGTTTAAAAATATCGTTTTATGAGATATTCGAAGTTTTCTAATCAGCAAATCATTGCCTTCTTGATGCTGCCTTGGGATTAACAGCTTGTTAGGACAGCTCCTAATCTCAGTTCACTAAAGATGTTATAGACTCCAAGTTTTTTTGGGTGTGTTTTTCTTAAAGACTAATATAATTATTTTTTAGCATGTGATTAATCACATCAGTAACTGTAGCTAGTCAACTATTTTTTATTCAATGGAAAAAGATATTTTTTGTGTTAGTTGTTTTTGTCCTGAAGTAACTCATATAGTTGTGTTCTTTAGCAATTTGCACCATCCAAATGTTTGAAATCTAATAGAACTTCAATGTATTCATGGAGCTTTAACACTTCGATGTTTCCGGACCATCCAGTTGAGTGAAGTTCAATCTCCCGTCTTCTTCATATTTTGTTAAACCAGATCAAGCTCTTTAAATTTGCTGCCAAGCACTCTGTCTTTGGATAAACTCCTGTGTGCACACTGTAAAAAGTAGATTAACTATGAAGGTAAAGTGAGAAGCTTTGCCAAGGTTGTGACTATTTTTTCCTCTAGTTTCACTCAAGATAGGGTAAAAACATAGTTATAATTCTTCTCCGATGTAGGCAATATATTTATGCAAATTTGATAATAACTTTCTTAATTTAAGTATAATTACAATTTTTCAGAACGATTTTAAAGTCTGTAATTACAAATATGACAACTACTATAATTATACCATAATTATATCATGACTCATACCAACATTCTCTCTTAACATGGAGTATAGATATCACTCATGCCCAGCTTGCCAAGAGAGTCATGGAAGGCTTGGCTAGCAACTGCCTTGTTCAAAATATCAACTAGCTGTTGTGTGGTCTTCACATGTAGTATTTTAACAATTTTGTTTTCAAGCTTCTTATATATGAAATTGCTGTCAATCCCAACATGTTTAGTTCAATCATGTTTTATTGGATTCTCTACGATCTTGATAACAAACTTATCATTACAATATAATTTCGTAGTCTCTTTAGCAGAAAAATTGAGCTCCTCTATGAGGCTTTTTAGCCATAATAACTCTTGTATTCCTTTGATCATAGCCCTATATTCAACTTCTACACATGACAATGAAACATCCTTTTGTTTTTCACTTTTTCAAGTAAGTCACCTCTAACAAAGTTAAAATGCCCAGTTGTTGATCGTCGTCTTTCTCCCTTAGTGCCCAAGTCAGAATCACATTACACATGGATAGCTGCATGATTATTCTGGGAAAACATAAGACCTTTCCTAGGTGCAGACTTCAAGTAACACAAAATTATAAAAACAATATTCATATGAACTTTACTTGGATTATGCATAAAATGACTAACCATACTAACAACATAAGTAATATACACTCAAGTATGTGATAAATATATTAATCTACCAATCAACCTTTGATATCTTCCCTTGTCAGTAGGAACCTGATTTAAAAGTTCCTCAAAGCCATGATTTTGCTCTATTGGCGTATGAATAGGTTGGCAAACAAGCATACCAGTTTCCTTCAAAAGGTCAAGAACATATTTTTGTTGTGCTAGGAATATACCTTATTTTGACCTTGCAACTTCAATGTGGAAAGAATATTTTAGACATCCAAGATTCTTCATGGTCAAATTTAGATGCCAAGTAAGTCTTCAACTTAGTCATTTCATCAATATTATTTCTAATAACAATCATGTCATTTACATATATGATAAGGATAGTTAACTTACCATTTTGTCATTTTAAAAATAAAGTATGGTCTGTATTGTTTTAAGTATAACCATGTCTTTTCATAGCCAATTGGAATCTTTTGAACCATACTCTTGGTGGTTGTTTCAGCCCTTACAATGTTTTTTTTTTAACTTACACACTATACTAGTATCACTAGAGAAGTCGTAACCTGGTGGCATACTCATATAGATTTCTTCAGAGAGATTGCCATGCAAGAAGGCATTTTTAACATCACTCTTTTGTAATGGCCAATCAAAATTTGCACTAAGAGATAAGAGAACTCGAACAATATAAAGTTTCGCAACAAGTACAAAGGTCTCTTAATAGTTAACACCATATGCTTGAGTGAAACCATGAACAACTAACCTTGCTTTATATTGATCAATATTTTCACCTGGCTTGTGTTTCACAGTGAACACCCATTTGTGTCATGCTGGTTTCTTTCCTTCTGGTAAGGTCATAATTTCCCAAGTCATGGATGCTGCCCAATTTGGATCATTTAATGCTTCTTAAACTCTTGTAGGAATGGAGATTGCTCAGTTGAAATATAATGAGAAATAGGATACTTCGATGTCTTAGAATTATCAAGTGAATATCTTTTTGATGGTTTTCCTCGATTACTATGAGGAGGTGTATGTTGAGCAGCCTACAAGTTTTGTGATTGAAGGAAGAGAAGAAAATGTCTATAGATTAAAGAAAATATTGTATGGCTTGAAGCAAACATCCAAAATGTGATACAAGAAGATTGATTTTTACTTTATACAAAATAGTTTTCAGAGATGTTAGTTTTAACATACTCTGTATATTAAGTTTGTTGAGCCAGATGATATTCTTATTGTATGCCTTTATGTTGATGATATAATTTTTATTGACAATAATTCAAAGATGATTGCTGAATTTGGAGAGGCCATGATTAGATGCTTTGAGATGACAAATTTAGGTCTAATGCCATACTTTCTTGGCATTGAGGTTGTTTAATAGGATGATGAAATTTTCATCTCTCAAAAGAAGTATGCTGTATGACATTCTAAAGAAATTTAAGATGGAGAATTCAAAGCCAATCTTTACACTTGTTGAAGAAAAGTTGAAGTTGAAAAGAGATAGTGATAGAAAAAGGGTTGATGATTCAATATACTACAAGAGTATGATTGAAAGCCTCAGATAATTGACTGTCACTAGATCAGACGTTGTGTTGTGAATTGCTTAGTAGATTCATGAAAGAGCTATGTGCATGTCATTTGCAAGGTGTAAAGAGAATTCTAAGATAGATCAAAGGTACTCTAATCGAGAAAATTTTTTATGCTAATAATAATAATGTAAACTTGTTGGATACAAAAATAGTGATTGGGTAGAAGATATAGAAACAAGAAAAAACACGTCTAGATATGCATTTCATCTTGGCACTCGGGCAATATAATGATCTTCAAAGAAACAAATAACAATTGCACTTTCAACAGTTGAGGCATAATGAATAGCTGTAACAAATTGTCCTACACAAGCAATATGGATGAGGAGAATGCTTGAAATGATGCATCTAAAGGAAGGCACTCCCAAATAATATTTTGCGATAACAAGTCTGCAATTGTACTTTGCAAAAATCTAGACTTTCATGAGTGATTTAAGCACATTGATATAAGATTTCACAGTATTTAAGAACTAATAACTAAGAAGAAAGTGGATATTAATTATTGCCTACTAAAAAATAAATTGCAAATATTTTTAAAAAG